ACACATTGGTAGATTTATTTCATGAGAATCTAAAATCATACAATAGAAATGGTGATGAGTTTTACTTGTGTTTTGTTTTACAATTGATGGCAACCTGGGAGTGTTATCTAAACAAGTGTCATTACTCCACAAATAAAATTGAGGGAAACTATTGAAGAGATACATTCATAGCTTTGGTTATTTGACATAGTCATCTCCAATCAGATTTCTTTCATCAAATCATTTATTGAATCACCTTATAGCAGATGGCAATCCTGCAGTCTACATTATCTTTCCCTTATTTATAACAGTGTTGGGATTTGATATTTTTGAAGTACGTTTTACTTGCTAAGATAAGAAAACTTGATTTCACTGCTCCTAGAGCAGTATGTGTGTGTGTGTGTGTGTGTGTGTGTGTGTGTGTGTGTGTGTGAGAGAGAGAGAGAGAGAGAGAGAAAGAGAGAGAGAGAGAGAGAGAGAGAGAGAGAAAGATACAATCTCCTGTGCTCTTCCTTCCAACTTTATATATGGCCCTTTTTCATAAGGATAGATACTAAGCAAGTGGCTGTAGTGTTTTTTTTTTTTTTCTTACCAGCTTTACTACAGAGATACCCTTATTCATCTTCACTCCATTCTTAGTATTGTCCCCCTTCTTCCTTTTATTCCTTCTCTGCTCAGTAGTCTCTCTACCTACTACTAGAAATATTTTCCCAATTCTAGACCTGTGTGTCACTTTACCCTAGTCTTAGTCTCTGGCAGCAGGTTATTGGTAATAGTGGCAAGTAGGAAAATATGGAACTGCTCAGCAGCTTTTCTCCTCATTCACCCCTTTTACCTCCAGGCAGGGAGGTCTTCGCTGAGCCTCACCAAACCATGAGTATGCTTTATGTATACAAACTCTGTACTGTTTTGGACCCATATGGTGGAGGGCATGGGGAGCAGAATAGATGCTGAGGGTGTAGAAAAATCATTCCCCCTCCCAATCTGTTTTCAGTTTTTCCCTGGTGGTTAAAAACCTAGAGAAATCTATAAGACTCTGTGCTAGGAGAATGAAAGAAGAGATAAGATGAAGTTGTAAGCATAGTTTATGGTTAACTTGAGAGAGCACTTTTGGTCAAAAACTAAAGATGGTAGCAGGAGAGAGGAAGCAGGTGTAGACCAATATCTGAGTTCTTCATAGAAAAGAGTAATGTCGTATGTTAAACTTTACCAAGAAGTTTACTTGCTCCTTGAAGAATTTTGCTCTCTGACATCTCAAAAACTCATTTTTTTTTACCTCTAATTCCTTCTCCAGAGTCCTAGCCTCTTAAAAAATTGCCTGTGTATGTAGTGACTTATGATTTGTTTTTAGTTACTTTTCCTATTAAATGAGAAAGTAGCAAATTGTTTCACTGAATTTACAAGCCATTATTTTTTGATACAGCTTAAAAAATATAATGTTCTTTACTGGAAGATATTAAAAAATAATATGTATACCTTTTAAAATGTGACCTACAGAATCAAAATATATATTGGACTTTAATTGGTTCCATATAAAAAAGCAGGGACTTAAGAGAATCTGTATATAAAGATTAAAAAAGAAAAGAGTCCTTTAGTCTCTATATTAAAATATTGATGAACCCTTTTAATCTTGTTGAATAGAAATAGAATAGTTTATTAGAAAGTTAAGCAAGACTCCCAAGGGTTTCTGCTACTTAGTGTGATTGTTAAACTTTCTCTTATATCCACCATTTTAATCTATCAGTCGTGGAACTAGCTTCTCTAAAATTGTTAAATTGGAATGCATAGACTAGAAATGGGAAGGAAAGAAAATATATGGCAATGGTGGTTCAGACATATCTTAATAGAAACGTTTTTCTCCCAATCACTGTATTGCAACTATATTTTCTTGTTGATAAATTTGATTTTGATCAATTTGTATAAATTTTGATCAGTTTGTACAGTTTTATATTAAGTTTATTTTCTGTGTGTAATTTCTTTTTCTCTGCTTATCTTGGTCTTATATCTGAGGCTTTGGAAAATTTATTATTCCTGTCATATGTCTGTTTGTACAGCCATTGTCTTCAGCAGAAAGGAGTCATTGATGCTGAAAGATGACTCTTGCCTTTGTCAGTGCCAGCCACGACCTTCTACTCAGAGTCTGGTTATGTTAACAATAAAACTAAAGAGCTCTGAGTTTAAAACCTACCCAGATCCTTGTTATTCTATAGCATCCTTTGAGCCCCCTGCCGTGTCCACTGTCCTTGGTATGTCATACTGTTTAGCTGTTGGCTTACTTAATTACCATCTCATTTAATTAATCTTTACTCTTCTTTTATGCTGTGGAAGTAGTGTCACTTGATGCAAATTGAGTATGTGTTTTCACATAATTTTATATCTTTAAAAAATTTTGTCTGAGATGTTTTCTGTAATAGGCACTCACCTTTTTGCATTCTCTTTTACAGAGATATGTAAATAACACATAGGCCTCATATTTGTTACTCATTTGATGTAAGATGATTCAGAGTCATAAAAAGAATAAACTATAGTCTGATCATTTTCATTAAGATAGGGTCATCAAAATAAGTTTCTATTCTCTGCTCTTAACTATCACTGTATGATTCCCCTCTTCTTCTCAACCCCACCATTCTACTTTTTGTCTCCATGAATTTACACCGATGTAAGTGGAATTGTACAGTATTTGTCCTTTTTGTGACTAGTTTATTTCACTTAACATATGTCCTCAGGTTCATCCATTTTGTAGCATGTGTAGGAGTTCCCTCCATCTTTAAGGCTGAATAATATTCCATTGTATGTATATGTCACATTTTGTTTATCCATTCATCTGTCAGTGGATACTTGAGTTGCTTCCACCTTCTGGCTATTGTAAATAATGGAATAGAATATGGGTGTACAAATATTTGAGACTCTGCTTTCAATAGCCAATTTGACTTTGTATTTCACTTTGGCTATATAGTATAAAAAATGTTAAAAAGACATAGTTGCAAATGAAAAGTATGATTTAAAAAAAACTTTTCATAAAATTATTAGCAATTCATAAGTAGTATTTATTTTGTGTGTTAATAATAGCCTTTGTCTTGGATTGGGCCTCATAGGAATTCTGGCTTCTGTTCTGCAGTGTTGATTACAAGGAAAATGCTTGGAATATAGCCTACAGATAACTGGTGATACTGGAGAGATGGTAACGAAGTGTGTTTTTACATGCTATTACCCCAATTTGTAGAATCTTTTTTAAATCTAGAGTTTTAGTAAGAATTATCCAAGCATGAACAAAACACTGTGTATTTTTATTCGTGATCTCTGTGTTTTCAAGGTATCTGGTTCTCTTGAAATTATGCCTTGAGTGTTTTCTGTAGTAGGTATCCATCTTTTCTCTATAGTATTTTTAAAAACTTTTAAAATTATACATCAGTCACTTAATATAGGAAGTACAGATTCATAAAAAGAATAAATTAGGGTCCTACCAGCTGAATTAGTAATTAGTATACTCTGCTTCGGAAACTCACTCCTCCTTGCCTGCTTTTGTCACCTATGGACAATTGGCAGTTCTGTCCCTTCAGCTGGCATTTCTGTCCATGTGAAGTGGCTTGGGAATCCTGGCTGGTTACTGGAAAATTTGTGGTATTTAACTTATTACAGATCACGTTCTCCTCTAAATCACAGAGGATTTTGAAAAAAAATTGTTTTTAAGAAAAAGAAGTTCTAAACTTAGCAGAATGTTGTCTTTGTAGCATCAGTTTTCTCATGCAAGAATGTAAAAAAGGCAACTATTTGTGTTTATTTCATCATAGAAAACTTGGCAAGGGTTGGGAAAGCATAAGCTGTTAGGAGTCAAGGATAAAAAAGACTGGTCCTCAGAACAGAAAAGGGAGAGATACATGGATTGAGAGGTCTCCCGGTTTTTCAGCTTTTTCTAGGGATTGATTGGAAGGTAAAATAATGGAACCAGAGCTTCAGAAGGCACATTAAGGAGCACAATGAACTGATTTTTTGTAAATGGTTACTTATCTTTTTTCACTTTGAGTTTTCCTTTGCAATTTTCATAAGTGTAGACCTACTCATTTAGAATCAGATTTTAGGGGCACCTGGGTGGCTCAGTCCATTAAGCGTCCCACTTTCGGCTCAGGTCGTGATCTCAAGAGTTCGAGCACCATATAAGGTTGACTGCTGTCAGCACAGAGCCCACCTCAGATCCTCTCTGCCCCTCCCCTGCACATATGCACATGCGCTGTCTCTGTCTCTCTCCAAAATAAGCATGAGTTGTCACATTTTTTATTAGTTTCGATATAACTAATATAGATATGATATGATTTGGTATAGTTTGATTTAGTTTGATATCTTCAGTTAAGAATATCTCATTAGTGCTATGTTAGAAACCAGTTTTATTAACTTGAACAGTTCAACTTGCTTGATTTTTTAAGACTTATCCATAAGAACTAAATTCTCCATACTTTCATGTAGGCAGGACTAAACTATAGAAAGTTTCATTTACAGGGCGCCTGGGTGGCTCAGTCGGTTGAGCGGCCGACTTCGGCTCAGGTCATGATCTCGCGGTCCGTGAGTTTGAGCCCCGCGTCGGGCTCTGTGCTGACAGCACAGAGCCTGGAGCCTGCTTCAGATTCTGTGTCTCCCTCTCTCTCTGACCCTCCTCCATTCATGCTCTGTCTCTCTCTGTCTCAAAAATAAATAAACGTTAAAAAAAAAAAAAAGTTTCATTTACTCTTAGAAGTAGCAGTGGGTACGGACAGAAATGGGAAATCTAGATTATGCCCTATTTTAAAGTCTCCAGAGACATATTTTGGTTCTGAAATTCTCCATTGTATATTGGACACTGTATGGAGCAGTGACGAAGACCCTCAAGGTAACTTATGCTCTTCAGGTTTCTGAGACAAGAATTGATACACAGCTAGTTCCATGCAAATGCAAATACTAGTTGCTGAATTTTATTCTCTGCTATACTATATTTTAAAAAAATCCATCATACTATCCTTCTGGATTTAAATCTTTCACTTTCTTCTCAGGTATGGATGAACGAGGAGGTACGACATCTTGGGGAACAAGTGGTCAACCAAGCCCCTCTTATGACTCATCTAGAGTAAGTTTGTTCATCACCCTTGATTAAAACTATGAAGTACTTTGGCAGAATAAATAAGTTTTTTTGTATATGAACTCTGTTAAGAGAAATGAAGATTACGTATTTACATGGGAGTATCCTAGAATACACAGTACCTTCATGGTAGATTTATTTTTTTCCATTTATTGTCATATTTGGGGAGTTTATTTTATCTCTTACAATGAAGGAAATATTTCTACACCTGGATTACCTATAATACTCTTTACTAGAGTTGGAAGAGTTTAGAATGCCTAGCTATTCTCCATACATAAATTTTTCTTTGTGTATTGTTTTCTTCGTGTATTACCTTTGAGAGATGGCACTGACTTTCATAGTATCAGTTTCCAGTCTTCCCTCTCCCGTTCTTGTTCCAGTAGTCATCAGCTGTTTATATCTGGGACTCTATAGCTCTGTCTCTTGGAAGCATATCAAAACACACATAACAGATGACATTTCTCGGTTGGCAGTTAAGAGAAAATAGGACCAAGCTAACATTCTACACATAGTGAGGTCATAAGATTAGAGCCTCTTTTTAGCAGTAAACAAACAAATCCCCCCAAACTTTAAAATAATGAGACTGAAAGATTAAAAATTAGACCAAAGAGCTGGCAGTAAAATTAAACTCTGTGTTTCCAGACTCTGCAGTAAATTGCCGAGGTTAAGAGCTACCTTTTCCAAAATGTCATAGTTTGAATAAATAATGAACTATTTACTTCTCTTAGAATTAACCATTAGAAGATAGACAAGCATAAAATTTATGGATATTTAACCCTAGAAGCATATTGGCATAAGTGGAAGGAAACAGTATGTGATTGTAGTCCATAATCTCCATATGGGTTATGTCATTTTGCATTAAAAAATGCTGAATTAAGGGTGCCTGGGTAGCGGGTAGCTCAGTCAGCTAAGCATCGGATTTCAGCTCAGGTCATGATCTCTTGGTCCATGGGTTTGAGCCCTGCGTCAGGCTCTGTGCTGACAGCTCAGAGTCTGGAGCCTGCCTCGGAATCTGTTTCCCTCTCTGCCCCTCCCTTGCTCATGCTGTGTCTCTCTCTGTCTCTCAAAAATATATAAACATTAACAAAATTTTTTTTAATGTTGAGTTAAAATATGTGGTTTGCTATTATATTTGACTGTAGCCTATGTTTAATTTATTTTAAATACTTTGGGAAAAAATAGGATAGTCACGGAGAATTAAGAATAATTATTAAAGAGACAATTAAACATGGTTTTAGTGTTTCCCTTTTGGGAATCTGTGATGAGAAAGCTGGGTTGTAGTGTAAAGAGTACTGTTATGGGTATCACAAGACTTGGATTTACTATCCTCTCTCCTGTGTAATCCTTGGGCACCTCATTTTAACCTTGGGGCTAGTTAAACTGATTGTCCAAATATTCTTCTACCTTCAGAAGTTTTCGATTCTTTAAATACCATTGTGAGTAGGAAAGGTAGTTTTCCTGTTTAGATTGTGAAGTATGGATTTTATATAGTGGAGAACACAATACTATTTATTGGATTATTTTCTTTCAAAGACTTGAGTTACTGTGTGATAACTTATTTCTTAAAATGTATTAAATGGTGCCTTTGTACCTTATGTGTACTTTCCTTTTAGACTTTCAATTTTGTTGTACTTGAGTAGTAAATAAGATTCTAGGAGAAGAGAACATATTAGTACATCCAAAGTTTTACATATTTCATGATCGTGAAATTAAGTTTGCCTCTAGAGATGGACTTCACAGTTACTCTTACTTTTCTTTTTGCTATTTGCTATGCTATGTTGAATGTATATTGTGTGCATTGCAAAGTTAAATTGATTTTATAGTAAATTAGTTTTCTGTTTAAAAACCCAAGATTAATATTTAAATATTCCCAATCTACCATGCAACCGTGTGTGTGTGTGTGTGTGTGTGTGTGTG